GAGGGCACGGAAAAAGCTCACCTGATTACCATCCGCATCCGGGAGCTACGAGTCGAACAATGCAAAAAAAATCTTGAACTTCCTTAAGCGAAAAAATCCGGTAATCCTGTTCACCGACGAGAGCATGTTTACCGTCGATCCCGTATCAAATTCCAGAACTGACCTTTATATTAGTTCTTATTCCGGTAAAAGACGTGGCCGACGAGGACAAGGTCGTGTATTGGTGTTTAGATTGGTGGCTTCCGATGGCAAAAAATTAACCCGGTGTTCATTCCAGAAGACGACAAGGTCAACACGGAGGTCTACATCGGGATTTTAAGTCAGTATGTTCTTCCGTGGATCAAAGAACAGTACGGTCCGAAGCCAAATTTTGTATTTCAACAAGATAGGGCTCCGTACCACACCTCGAACCGCACTCAGAAGTGGTTGCAGGAACATCTTCCGTTCTGGGCAAAGGATATGTGGCCGCCATCCAGTCTTAATCCGCTGGATTACTCAATATGGCGCGTAATGAAGGCCAAGGCCTGTTCTAAAGGCCACCCGAGTACAGCAAGCCTCAGACAAACATTGACCCGTACCTGGAGAGAAATGGATCCAGACTACAATATAAGAACCTTCCATGCATTCCGGAAGCGTGTGAAGGCCATAATTGCAGCAAGTGGAAACTCGATTGATGATTAACATAGTTTAAAACTCTGAGAAACATCCCCCCTTTGAATAAATAATAAACTCGAAAAAATTTGACATTGCTCAATGGTGCAAACATTATCACGCATACGGTAACTAGAATTAAAACTCGTCGAGCGAGTCATTTAAGCTTATTTAAGACCCACGGTCACATTTGCCCTCCCAAGCTTGTTCCAGTACTCCCAGAAATGTTCTGAGGCTTTCGGAGAAATTGGAAATTTCCAACAAGAACCGTATCAATATCTATGCGGATGCTCTTTTATTCAGAACTATCCATCTGTCACTATCCATGACAAAAAATGGCAACTGAACACATTTGGCATACAGGACTGAAACGTAGTCCATCGGCAAACAACTCGAATGAAGTCGCGAAACCTAACCTAAATTTCCCCATCTCCTTTTCTCACCCACAAATATTGATAGTTATGCCGGATTAATTTTGGTCTCCATTCGTTTCTATCTCTTTCATTTTCATTGCGAAAGGAGAAAAGAGGACGGCAAAAATAGAGGTTTGCTTTTGCGTGCAGTACCTACATTATTGAGTTTGACAGCTCCTCCTGTTCGTTTACGCTTATGCTTGGTTTATTTCGCCCCGCTGAACGTTAAGTAGAGATAGTATTCTAGGTCATAACAATGTAAAGTGTGATTTACGCAAATTTGTCGCGTTAATTCTTAAAAAAAAAAATAATACCTAGGGTGGGTGAGCCACTAGTGGAGGAACTAAGCCAATTTATTAATTAAAAAACTATTATACGATGCACACAAAATTGTTATACGTCAATCTATAGCTTTCAACCTCTATTTTGATAGAAAAATATTACATTGTAATAAAATTGCATACAATTTTAGAAAACTCGTCCTCTATCAATAGGAAAACTGTTCCAGTAGTTGTGGTAGTTGCTAACTTTGGTTCCTATAATAGTGTTATGCGTTGGTTTCTAATGGGTTCCACTATTATAGGAACACTACCCCAACTATAGGTGCAAAGGAGTGAAAATCTTAAGGAAAATTGATTGTTTTCCGTCACTTTCGGGCATATTTTTTGTTTGAAGTATGCAAATATGCTTTATTTTAGGAGAGCTACCGATGAAAAATAATCTTATCCGGGTCCCCCTCACTATTCCGGCACAACCTCCATACCGCAACTATAGGTACACCACAATTACTGGAACACCTACCCTACTGCTTTTGAGCAGGGGCTGTTGTTATCAATAACGAAGAGACTACTAACAAATCCCTCCCTTCTCCCTCGCTCGCAAAAAGAGGGGAGACACCTATGTTCCCACCCGGGTTTCACCTAGTCATGCTATAGAGTTCTCTACCACCGTTAGTATTAGTGAGCAGTTTCACTAATACAAGCGTTTTACTGGTTGAAAATAAAAAAACAAACCACTGTCAAGTCGAACAATTTGACAGCTGATTTCGTGGTTGAAAATAATAAACAAATCGATTTTACACGGCTACACTAGCAACGTGTTGTATTGGTGAAATCTTGCGACAAGAACTCAATGCTTCTGCTTTTGAGGACATTTATTTGTTGTCATCTTACCAGAGTAGGCTGCGCGTGTGGACGAACATGACCTTAATTTATTTTTCTCGGAGTTTTTTATGCTTATTTGGTTATTAATCCGGGTTAACATTTTCGAAGATGGCCAAGAACGCGATTATCCGTTTCAAAAGGGATCAAACCATCTATACAGAAGAAGCCCTGCGAGAACTGCATCCCATCTTCAAGGGATACTGGCTGTACGTCATGCTGCTGTACTAAATGTGATTTGCCACTGACATACAGTTCCGAAAATGAAGAGGAACCTTTATTGGAACCAAGATATTCCATTGTTCGTCGTATTCGCGTCAAGAAATTGCAAGTTGCTGGACCTGATACTTGGCTACCTTCACTCGGATCCAGCAATCGACAACAGCCTATTATCTTTTATCCCAAGCCGGAGGATCACTACATTAGGACACTTCAAACTGGTTCTACATTGGACGGGACTAGTTTATGTTGATCCCCATCAAGCGAACCGTCTTTGATTGGAACTACAATGCAACAATAGCACGGATGCTTCCTGTGGATTCATTTGGACTAACTTGGTGAGATCGTATCTGATTTTATCTATTTAAACTAAATTTACATGATTCGCTTAAATTTATTGTGTCTTTGAAATCATCATTGAACGCCAAAGGGATAGTCTGCACATTTTTGAGCATGTGGTGGAACATTATTGTAAATCATATATGTTAAAACATTATTTTATATACTGGGTTGGGGGCAGCCTAATACCCTGGACAGACTATGGCTTATATCATGTAATATAGGCTGTCTTGCAATGAGCATTCATACATAGGATTTCCAGTGAATACTAGATGTATGACTGCTCATTGCAAGATAGCTTATATAACATTTATTACAAGGACGACAGTTCGTGGATTTGCCAGTCCGTTGTCACGTGATTGCAGATTGCCATTTGGTCGTTTTGTCTTCCAAAGGTCTTCAATGAAGCTGATTAACCCTGCTGCAACAACCCATCAACCGGTAAAGTATCTGCAGACATTGCTTATCCTTGCACTGATGGTGGGTTCCATTCACATCACATCACATCATTTATTTGTTGTCATCTTACCGCTATTAATGTTGCATGCATGCTATGTCAATTACTCCATACCTGACCCAATTAACAGTAAGTTCAATTTGGTTAAGTGGTTGTCAAGTTGCCGGGTGCATTGAAACATTTCCGGGGTCACCAAAACATGTCCAGTAGGGCTAGTGTGACCATATGGACTGTCAAAATCATTACCGGTTGAGTTTTGCAAAATCATGAAGTTTGATATGTCGCACGACGAGATTTATTCCTAGTTGAGAATTGTCCCCTTCCTCGAGGGCCCCGGAACATTTCTCCGGTATGATTAATGATGGTTTCACAAAATGGCCATTAACAGCGCAGTTATGAAAAACCATGAAGTTTCATAAGTCGCACGACATGTTTTGGTTCTTATCGAGAATTGGACATATCCCCGGGGGCATCGAAAAATGCTCGGGAGGGCTAGTGTGACCATGGATCTTCAATAAGGCCTTTACCGGTAGAGTTTTGTAAAATCACGAATAAGAAAAAGTGGGAAAATCTGATCAATAACCCTCAATATGGTTATTTTTTTTTTTCAATCGGGGTGATGTTTGGAGGTCCAAAATCGATATCCGACGTCATTTTGCAATCCATGATGATGGCTTTCGGTTTCAGAAAAAGTAGGAAATACAGTCAAATACCCATCAATAGGGTATTTTTAAATCGGGGTGTCGTCTAGATGCCGAAAATCGATATCGAGAGGTCTTCCGCCCATTTAGTCTTAAATTCAACAAGAAAATGTAATTGCAATCGTCGATGATAATTAGATATATTGTATACAAAGAGTTTCAATCCTTTTAGTTTGTTTTTTTTTTCACAATGTATTTCTTGGTTATATCTCCTATGACAGGTTTCCCCATGAAGCAACATTTTCAATAAAATGGGTACTTTCTACTCATGTATAGAATAAACATGAAGGGTCAAGAGTACCCATGTTTTGAAGTATTCCTTGAATACTCAATAATGAGTAAAGCCGGATTTACTCATTAAATGAGTTATGCAATTTTTCTATAAAATTGATGAATTTGTACTCACTAATGGGTGCTTTCAAGTTAGCGTGTAGAGGCCAAATATCAACATCTGACGCTATTTTGAAACCCATGATGGCGTCTTACAGTTTCAGCAAAAGTGGTAAATACTGTCTAATACCCATCAATATGGGTATTTTTTAAATCGAGGTGACGTCTAGAGGCCAAAAATCGATATCTGAAGTCATTTTGAAATCATAGATGGCGGCCGTCGGGTTCATGAAAAGTGGCGAATACCCATTAATACACCGATAATGTTGTAGGTTAAATGACACTGTCTGAACCTGATGGATGTCTAGGATTCAAAAATGGCGTCGGATATCGATTTTTGGAATTATAAATGGTCCCCGGTTCATGAGTTAATGGGTCGATAGGTAGGGTACAGGTGTGGGAGCTGCCTTCCTGGCGTCGGTAGCATTGGTGCTCAGCACGGAAAACAAATCAAGAAAAAAAAATTAGCTCATTTGCATTCGAACCGATGAAGATTTCAATTCCCTGTCCCTGCGTTCAATCAATTTGAATAAATTGCTTCGAAACCAGAAATGCACTCCAATCCCATCTTCTAGCGCATAATGAATAAAGTTAGTCAATCCCGTTCTTCGAAATGCACTGGAAGCCCGATAATTCAATTCCGAAGGTGTATCCCATCTTCACTACTTACCAATCCACTCAGCAGGTAGTGATAGGTGCGCTTGCCGAGCGTAATGTCACGCACGTGGCTCACGACGATGTCCTTGGCCAGCTCGGTGCTGCAGTCGAGAACGATGTGCTTCCGGGACCACCGGTTCAGCTCCTCGATCGTCCGCAGGAACTCGATGGCATCGCTGACGTTCGCTATCCGCTTTACGGTTTCCACGTGGAACGTCTCGTTGCCCGGCCGGAGGCCCTGGTAGATTTGCTGCAGTCTCAACAGTCCTGTAATGAATGAAATCGAAAAAAAAGAAAGGGGCTGGGGTTAGCAAATTGAAACTGACAGGTGCTGTTTGTGTGTGTATTTGGGACATGTATGTAAGTATGTGAGGGTGTCACGACGAGGTATGGTGATGCTCCCACAGATAAATTGCATTAAATTTAATGTCTTCACATGTAACTAGGTTGCGTAATAATGCTTTTGACTTCTCCAACTGCTTCTAGAAGAAAGCAAAAAAGCACTGACAAGCTTTCAGACTTTCGCCGAACTAGTAAATCCACCGAAAATCCATACCAAAAATGTTAATCAACGCTGATCCACTCCCTACAGTTTGGCTTCCTGGTAAAGAACTGGAACGAAGTTGAATCCCACCAACTCACCTTTTAGGGAAAATTAAAATGCAATGAAGGTCCCAGCTTCACCAACCCCGCAGTTCGTTCAGGGTGAACCATTTATCAAATCTGCGTGATGTTAATTTGTTAACGCTCCGGTAGAGTGTGAAAAATACGCTTCCAACCGAACACATGGCTGCTGTTTTTTCCCGGACTTCCTTTCTCACTTTGTCATTCTCCAATGTCACCTGCCGCGCCACCACCGTCGTCGACGTCGTCTGAATATCCTGCCACCCGCGCGCCACTGATAGGGTAGGAACCCCTTTGGTACCGGAACCCGTGTCAGGAAAAATTGAATTAATCCAAGCTGAAAACGGTTCCGTTGCCAGCAGCAGGTAGGTGACGATTTGGAAAGAGCTTATTTTACTGGTGTAGGAACCCTTTTTGCGAGCTGCTTACTTCTTGTCAGAGGGTGGAAGACCGTCTCAGCGTTTCCCTGCTGAGTAAGTAGCCGCATGCTGTTCCGTTTCACTGGCTTTCGCCGCATTCGACGAGGTGACAGTTTTTGAGGTTGCTTTCTGTAGGACGGGAGAAAGAGGATGCAAGTTCCCACCGGGCAGAAGGTATTCAGACGGTTATGAATAAGTAATGCAAACCGCACTTTTGAAGGGACGAATATTGTGAATTTTTGCTTAGATGTACCGCGAACGTGGGTTATTCCGTGCGGTTCGAAGTTCCGTTCATTGGGCTTACAATTCGATGAATTCATACAGAGTTGTAAAACAGGATATAAACAAGCATCCATATATGTGTTAGGGTGGTTCAAAACATCGATTGTGCTCCACCAAGCTGCACAGAGACTATGGCTTTGGCTCATCTTTATACCTATTATCGTCAGGAGCTAAACGAAACCCTAGGATACTGATTTTTTACATGAAGGTGCATCATGTTCCAGAGCATCGATCTGCTGAAAAATTTACACTCTAAGACTTCATTTACTCCCTGGTGATAATAGGTAAAGGTATTGCCGAAACAGACAGGATTGTGTTGCCTGCTGAGCAGTGTCAGAAGAACATCATCTTCTTAATCAATTAATAACTAATTATCCTGACAGTTAAAATGTTGTCTTGAGCAAAGTTGTAGCTGATAAAATTTGACTTTAGCACAGATTGCAGACTTTTCCGTATATCATAACGGTGAAGGCTAGAAGGATGCTAAAAAAACATCACTTTTCCCATAGTAGTACCCATATAAACTTCAAAGGGTCAGTGCAGTATGAATTCGCATCCAAATGAGCACAAAATTTGTGAAAATTACACGCAAATGAATTTCAATGTTTGACCTATGATCCTTATGTCAAATCATGCGCTGAATCCAAAAATGTTGTCAAAAAAACTCAGGTAACAATTTTTAAAAGCCTTTTAAGATTGCACTCGTATACCTTCCCCTCGAAACCATCATCACTTTCATAGTTCTTCTATTCTCCACTAGTGTCAACTTAAATTTGCCAATAATCTAAAATTTACTTTCTCCAATTGGCAAATCAAAGTTGGCTCTCGTGGAGAATAGAAGAACTATGAAAGTGATGATGGATTCAACATTTTCAAGGGAAGGTATATGAGTGCAATCTTTAACGGATTTTATTTTGCAAATGGAGCATTTAATTTAAATCTGGTTGCTCTGTGGTAGAAAAGCTGAAATCTATGTAGACACCTAAAAATGTGAAAAGAAATTATTTCTTTATTATGTGTCTATTGAGTAGTCCTTATGTTTTCTACTAACGTAGAATTTACCAGATTTAAATAAAATTATGCATTTGCCAAATAAAAGCACTAGTATACCTCATAGTGTAAAATTTTGAAACCATCATTACTCTCATAGTTCTTCTATTCTCCACGAGTGCCAACTTTGATTTGCCAATTGGCTTCCTAAATCCTCATAGTGCTGTAATTCTTCAGCTGGCTATCAGCCAACTAACAGCATAGATACGCTGCATATACGGTAAGACAGATGCAAGCGCTACGGTTTATCTTAACATCCTAGCATCACCACCCAGTCTAGCACGGAGCAGAACCACTTACCACGCGAAGCGTTCGTTTTGTTGAGAGGTGCATCAGTTCAACTGATATATCATTTCAGATGTCATTGCTCATACCATGCAAATTACTCTCTGATAACCGGGATTAGCAGATAAAAGCGGCCAATCAGAAAGGACCGCGTGTAAGTTCAGAGTTGATATATTACAATTCAGCCCGTGGGTGGATCATCTGCTTTTTGGCAATCGTGTTAGACAGTCGCATAAGTTAGTTTTGAGACGTTCCTAAAAGTGCATAATTTAAAACTAATAAACCGTACAGTGAGTGCTAAGGCACTGTCAATTAGGGGAGTTTGGTTTAAATAATTGTAAGTGATTTGAAATTCAATTTAATTTAATTTTGACAGATATCACCATCAAACATTAAATTTCTACGGCTAGCATCACCTTAGTGTTTTTTCGGTGAAGCAGTGCAGGACACTAACCACCGACTAAGGAAGTGGCCGGCGCCGGTGGTGTAGTGGTAAGCCTGACTGCTTTCTAATACCCCAATGGGTCTGGGTTCAATACCAGCCGAGGTCGGTGGGATTTTTCTGAGGCTCAAAAATCTCTGGTCACGTCTTCCTTCGGAAGGGAAGTAAAGTCGTTGGTCCCGGCCCATGTGTGTTGAATGGGTGCGATATCCTACGCAGGTGTGGAAGCTGTCTTCCTGCACATTCGATTGCCGTCAATCGATGGCAATCGATGTCCGTCGGTGATTGGCACTAGATTGCGGAACAGAGACCGACGTTAAATAAAGGAAAGAAGAAGAAGAAGACTAAGGAAGTGTGTGGTAAGTTAATTAAAGTAATTCTGTTTCTAAGGAGAGTCCTTCGAAATAATGTTTTAAGCTCGAATACCATAACGAAACCTGGCTGGCACTACCCGCCAACTAGTGTGACACTTCTTGCTAGAGGCTCGACTCATACGACCGTGAAGAGTTGCCGATCGCCGATTGCAGTATTGGTTTTCCTCCAGCATCATCTACTCGCCAATAACGAAGCACCGTCGGTCTTGCTGTCATTACTCCAGTCTATTCGGCGATCTACAAACATCTTCATTAACGCACAGGTGCCCTACCGGTATCGTTCGCCCTTGGTGAGCCGATCGCTCAAACCGTGTGGATAGTGCGGTCCGTCTTCATCAACATCAACGTCAGTCCGGTTCAGCAAGCATCACCATCAGCAGCAAGTAAGCCGGGTTGCCGTCGCGAAAGAAAATGTTAGAGCTCTTTAGTTTTAAGGTTTTACAAAGGGTAAGTAATTTTGTGTTCTTCTTCTTTTTTAAATATCATAAAATCATCATTATTAGTTTACAACTACAGTCATTTATTATGAATAAGAAAATTTAAAACATGTATTTCGTGATTTTAGATCGAAAATTTCCTGGGTAAAACACATTCACTGTGTTTACTTACTTGTGTTCTTCGAAGTATAGCACAATTAAACGCAATCGAAAACACAAAACTCAAAACGACTGCTTCACAAAACTCTTGATGAACAAAATTTATCACAAAGAAAACCATTTCTACTTTATTGCTTTGCTAGCAATCGTGAAAGTATCATTGAAACAGCGGTGCCAGATGTATTGCCTCTAGCAATGATTTTAAGTTTATTAAAACAATTAATTGCGAAGTCTGCCTCATTAACATAGATGAGTGGATGTATTTAATGGTGGATAAATATCAAAAACTGATTGAATAAAACATAAATGACCATTTTAGACATTTTACCGGTCCAATTAAAAAAGTCACAGATGATTGAATTCAACACTAACAGGGTTGATGGCAGCAGTGCACGTAGCCTGGTGTTCGCTTTCCCGCTCAGGGGTGTAAACAAACTTGCATACAGCGCAGTCTGGCAGTGTGAATGTTTTGTCTGCTACATTCTTATCCACTAGATAGTGTGACATCACATTTGCTGTTGTATTGAAATGAAGGAAGAAAAGAGATGGTTAAGTTTTCCTCACCATACCAGTTGATATTTATGAAACAACGCAGTTTTGGCGTGGGGACATGCACTTCCAATGAATTTTACCTATACATTTAGAAAATGATGATCGAAGAATATTTCAAAAAGAAGAAGTAAGGGGTCGTCCATTAATTATGTCACACATTTAAGGGGAAGGGGGGGGAGTTTGAAAACTGTGACGAGCCATACAAAAAAAATTAAGGTCCATACAAAAAATGTGACAGAGGAGGGAGGGGGGGAGGTTGAAAATGGGCCAAATTTGCGTGACATAATTAATGGACCATCCCTAAACAAAATAATGACCCTTTGTAGAACCTTACGCAAAACACAAAATATTGAATTATAACCCCATATGAAAAAGCATATGCATGCGCAATTTGAATTTTGGAGGGCATTGCCCACACTTAGCTTTCGCTCTGTACGTAAGAACCAAATTTCAGGTTAAATCTATTCCTTTGAATCTCGTAAATACAAATTAATGATTTGATCTGATTTAAATTTTGACTGACTTTGAAAAAATACCTTGCCTGTGTTTTGTCGTGACTGTTAGATCCGCCCTGAATGATCTAGTTTGGCAAACTTAGACACGCATTTCCGCAACACATCGTTGGATGTGTTGGTGCTTAAGC